GTGTGTGTGTGTGTGTGTGTTTGCGTGTGTGTGTGTATGTGACATAAACACAAATCAAGAAAAGTTGGCACACGCTGGTCGTCTGGACTGAACCAACGATGTTACTGAGGGAGATTGAAGGAAATGGCAGGCAAGCAGAGGAGGGGGGGAGTCTGCAATGACGGGAGCTGAAGAAGCAGGAGCATAGGTCGCCATGGAGAGGGGATATGAGTAAAGCAAATACAGACTGATATTGCGACAGGACGTCGAAAGATGGAGGGCAAAAGGAGGAGGAGGAGGAGGAGGAGGAGAAAGGATAAGATCAGGGGTTACCTCTTCCACCGCTCCTCGCAATGACGGGAGCTGAAGAAGCCGGAGCTTAGGTCGCCATGGGGAGGAGATATGAGTAAAGCAGATGCAGACGGATATTGCCACAGGAAGTTGGAAGATGAAGAATCGAAGGCAAAAGAGGGCGGATGAAGATCGCGGCTTACCTCTTTCGCGGGGAGCTGTTCACCGCTCTTTCGAACAAAAAAACGAAACTTCGACTCTTGGTGGCTTGCAACAACAATCTACAGCAGTACACCCCTCATGTTTCCCCGCCGCCCTCTGTGTGTGTGTGTGTGTGTGTGTGTGTGTGTGTGTGTGTGTGGGTGGGTGGGTGGGTGGGTGGGTGGGTGTGTGGGTGGGCGGGTGGGTGGGTGGATGAGTGGGGCAAGCACAGCCCCTCCCCTCCCTTCCCTCCGTCCCCACACCCAAACGCAAGTATGCAGATGCACGACCGCGAGCACACGCGCACACGACACCGGGACCCAGCGGTACCGCTAGGCCTATTCTAGGTCCATCAGGACCGTTGGCATTGTTAGCGTTTCGCAGGCAAAAGGCTGCTCTAAGTTCGCAGCCAGGAGGGGGTGCCGTGCAGTGCAGTGCATCAAGGCTTGGGCTATTTCAGATTTAACCCTGGGCTACCATGTTTGTCCTTCCCCCTCTTTAGTTCTGCTCCCCTATATAAGTTCTCCTCTCCCCTTCTTCCCTGATAGTACCCCGCGCACTTTATTTACGAAAAAGCACATCCCTAGAACGCACATCCCTAGAACGCACCTACAACCATATAACGCACCTACAACCACGGTGCGTTATACTAGGGTATCAACTTCGCCCCCCCCCCCCCAAAAAAAAGTATATGCCTCAAACAGGTACCTCCAGTCTTCCCACAAACAAGACCTTCAGATCAGGCACAAAGAGAGAGAGAGAGAGAGAGACAGACAGAGAGAGAGAGACAGAGAGGAAAGAACACTGCAGGGCCTTGAAAAGGAGTGTGGCACTACAGGCGGGCACGCGTGCGTTCTATTTGACTAGAACGTTTGTTTATTCGAATAAAACAAATGTGCATACTATTCGAATAGAACATACTTGTGTAATATTTCAACGTGCGTATTACTTGGATTTTCGGGGGAAACGTCAAGAAATCGACTTTTCCAGGAAAAGTTTAATACTACATACATGTGTTTTGTTCGGGAGAAGATTGTAGTTTTTGCACGATACCATTTTCTTTTTATTCTCTTTGGATCACCTTTTCAGTTCTGCTCTCATTCATTAGTTATTTTATCTCATCCTTCCTTTTTTGTCCTTAAGTTATTTTCGTTTGTTTTCATTAGTTTTTTTTTATCGACGCTGAATTTTCTTGCGGGTCGAGATTTTCGCCGAATCTAGCATTTGCACGATACCATTTTATTTTTTTGTCGGTGACTAATGATTAACTACGTTTTATGCTAATAAAATTTTCGCATTACTATCATTAATCTATTGTATGTGATTTTGCAAGGTGCAATTTTTTTGTACGTAACGCATTGACATGTTGCCCTTGAGTTTATGGGTCACGTTGTTAACAGTTGCTGAGAGTTTATTTACATTTGTCACTACAAAATAATCTTTGTGTTCGACTTCTTGAAAATTTGATGTTGAAGCTTATGCTAGCAAGATCTTCGCGAAACTGTTATTGATCGACTGTATGTGTTTTTGTTGAGTCTAAATTTATTGTGCATAATGCAATGACATGTTACCATTAAGCCATAAAAGGGTTTTTTCTTTTAATTTTTTTTGTGTTAAATAATAATAATAATAAAATAAATCATCCCTAACATCGTGATAACTGTCACATACATTCAATGAAGTGCTTGCGTGATTGTGCCCTTAGTGATGGTGTCTGTGCAAGGCATATTAAAAAAAAAAAAAAAAAAATTCCTCTTCTTTTTCGTTTCGCTTTCCTTGAAAAATAAATTATAAAATGTTAATTAGGTGTTTGAGAAAAGAGAAGTCGGTCTGGAGTCCAACCGTCGCACTTCCGTTGGCATAAAAAAAAATTCGCTCGGACCAAACGCGGGTCAATTGACAACGATGGGTGAACTTTAGCCTACGTGTTACCAACAAGATTCAACTTAGGTAGGAACCATCTTTATCATCCTCGCTTTGTTTCGAGGACAAAGGTCATAAAGCTATAAAGAAGAGGTAGCAAAAACATCCATCGCACTGAGTTTTTTTCTCTTGCATAGAGTGTACGTGTTATGCTATAAGTGTTTATTTATGACTTATGAGAAGAAAATTGAGTGTATTAGGGTTGATATCACCGCGTAGAACATCTCGAAGATAGAGATGCAAATGGTGGTGTCGGTGTAAATATTCTTACAAGGGTATCTGGCTTTTTGTTTTTTCAAAATGACGTAAACAAGTTTCCATTCAAAAATTGGGTCTGAAAGTTTGATTGGTCGTGCGAGGGACGACCTTTTTTTTGTGACCAATTGTGTGTTCAGAGGAAAAATAGGGAGTGCGTGGGTGCGCACGACCTTTCTTGTTGATGTTACAAGGCCGACACCATTGCTGGTTAACTTTTGTTTTCGATTAAATTATGACTAAATAGTCTTTTTATTTTTATTTTTGACCGCGGCGCATACGGGCGCGCGAAGGCGACATCCGTTATGGCCGACCTCAAAGTTTGACTTCGGTACCATGATTGAGAGTTGTCATGATTTCACTAGGATAATACTGAAATCATGTAGTACATAGTGCAAAAAGAGGCACCATGAGTTTACTATGCACCCTGTTTATCAAGGGTACCGCCATAATTAAAAAAAAAAACAATTTTCGAAGGTGGGAGATCCCCTACTCGAACTGCATACTCTTCCTTAGAAGCAAACTTAGAGGCTCGACCTTTTCGCTGTGGCAAGAAATAAAGATCCGCCAGTAACCTACAACACATAGGAAATGACGTACTTGAGTTGGACTGTTCAAGGGTGAAGGTCAGTTTAGAAGTTTTTCCAGTTTGGCTGGATCAACTCGCCGACTCTTTTGATCACAAATAAAGCCCAAGATTTTGATTAAAGACACTGTTCACCTTCTATTTATGTCGTAAACTGTAAGGTTAATATCGTTCAATTGCTCTAGCACTGCATATATGTTCGTGAGATAACTACAAGTACAACTTTCGTCTCGTTTTTATCTACATAACCTTTGATTGAGAAGTCGTTTAGAAAAACTTCAACCTTGTGCATAATGCAATAACATGTTACCATTGATCCATAAAAGGGTTATTTCTTTTKTTTAAAAAAAAAAAAAAAATAATAATAATAATAAATTATCCCTAACATCGTAATAACTATCACATACATTCAATGAAGTGCTAACGTGATTGTGCCCTTAGTGATAGTGTCTGTGCAAGACAGATTAAAAAAAAATAAAAAATTCCTCCTCTCCTTTTTCGTTTTGCTTCCCCTGAAAAATAAATTATCAAATGTTAATTATGTGTTTGAGAAAAAAGAAGTCGGTCTGGAGTCCAGCCGTCGCGCTTCCGTTGGCATAAAAAAAATTTCGCTCAGACCAAACGCGGGTCAACTGGCAACGACGGGTGAACTTTAGCCTACATGTTACCGAGAAGATACAACTTAGGTAGAAACCATTTTTGTCATCCTCGCTTTTTTTCGAGGACAAAGGTCATAAAACTATAAAGAAGAGGTTGCATCACACTTAGTTTTTTTCTCTTGCACATATTGTACGTGTTATGCTATAAGTGTTTATTTATGACTTATGAAAAAAAAGTTGAGTGTATTAGGGTTGACATCACTGCATAGAACATCTCGAAGATAGAGATGCAAATGGTGGTGTCGGTGCAAGTACCCTTACAAGGGTATCTGGYTTTTTTTTTTTTTTTTAAATGACGGTGTCGACGCGGTGCAAGTACCCTTACAAGGGTATCTGGCTTTTTTTTTTTTTTTTAAATGACGGTGTCGACGCGGTGCAAGTACCCTTACAAGGGTATCTTACTTTTTTTTTTTTTTTTTTAAATGACGGTGTCGACGCGAATACCCTTACAAGGGTATCCGCCCTGTTTTTTTGCAAGTAACAGAAAATAGGTTTGGTTTGAAATTTGAGTACACTGCACGAGTTGCGGTTGTGTTTTGTTCACGCTGACTGAATGGCTGACTAGAAGTAGCGAGTGAGTGGGCGCGCGAATTTAAGACGCGCGTGATTTCCTTTCCCTGTTGATGATTATAAAACCGGCGCGGATCGTTGTCACCTTGTCTTATTATTATCATTTATTTATTCTTGATTAAAATAAGATTAAGAGGTTTTGTCCTATGGTTGGTACATTTGACCGCAGTATGTGGGCTTGCATGGAACTCGACTTCGACAACAACGAGAATTTGTGCGGTAAGCGGAGTGTGCAGGAGATAAAACGCGTGTCAGGCCTCCACGTGGTTGGTACAGGAGTTTGGCGGGCGGGGGTGCCTAGTAGTGGTGGGTTGGTTGCAGATGAAAATATGGCCCAAGGCGTTGTGAGCACTGACGTTGCACCATTTTATATGGGATCCCACGCGTGTTAGTATCAGGCTTGGGCCCTATAGGTTACGGCACTGGACTATAACGGCGGAGGTATGGGGTTCGAGGCCAACGGGCAGCGACATGGGAGCAATGGAGCACTAATGGAGTTCAAGGGTCGAGGGTCCCGCGAGACTATCCCCTTTTGTTTTGTTGGGGAAATCTGGCCACGTAGGTCAGGGGAAGTGCTCGTAGAACCCGCCCCCTTCGTTGTTTTTTTTTTTTTTTTCCTCAGTCTGTCCCATTCGGGTCCGAGCTAGGGGCCAGCCGACAGCATCCGGGTCAGGCTTCCCCAAACCCGTTTCTGAGGGATATCGAGCAAGCCAAGAGTCGAACCCGGGGTTTTCAACCCGGGCGAGCTGGTTGGTAGCAGTTGTTTGAGGGGTAGGTTAGTAGGATGGGAGTTGGAAAAGAAAGGGGCTGCGTGGGAGTAGGGGAGTACTTACCTCGAGGTGGGGCTGAATGTATTGGATCGTACTCCAGCGATAGATGCATTCGATTTCGCTCCTTATATCGGTGGAAGGAGCGGGAGGCGCCGCCCAACCTATCGATG